TTCCTTCATTATTCTTCCCTCATTGTCCCTGTTTGTGCTCAGTTAAGTCCTGTGCCTCCACTTCTGCCAGCGTTTAGAAATAAAATCGAGCTGTTTGAGCTTTGGGAAGCCTAAATACAGCAGCCACTGCACCCTGCTCTCCACTCCTGCTCTAATCTTGCAGAGAATAATGTCTTGAATTACCTCACACACTCATCCTGCAGTGGTCTGCTCTTTACAAACAATAAAATGTTTTGTCAGTTTTTCAACAGAATGCACCAAATTGAAGATTGGCAGTAAATCTTCAGCAAACCAACGTGCCGCAGCCTTGGTCGTTTCTCGTCCAATCTCAGAAAGCAGCCCAGTGGTTCTGTTGGCTGCAGATTGTAACTGTAGATTGTGAGCCTTTTCATTCAGTGGTTTATAGCTCATGACAAATGCTTGTTCAGCCTTTCAGAGGCTCACTGTAAATGTCAGTCCACTGTAGTTTAATAGACACTCAACCACAGGCAGTCATCCTTGCTTCCACACGGATTTTTTTTTTTTTAATTCAGTTTTTTATAAGGGATGGTAAAAGACGGTGATGGTGTCTAAAGGAACTACCGGTTGTGTAAATATTGCAATAAAACCAGGGTTGTAGTGGAGAGTAAACCCTTTTATACAACAGTATATATTTGTGGGACATACTTTACTGAATCTACGTATTGAATTCAAACCCTTTCAGATCCTTTATTATATCTAATAAGTTTAACATTTACATGTAAAACTGCAGATTCTTTAGGCAGCAACACTTGATTTTATTTAGTTTAACTAAAGTTGACAACCTGTAGCTGCATGAAATTGTGATTAAATATCAATCAAATCATTTCTTGTTTTGTTTAAGGGGTGGTTTAAATTCCAGATATTTAACTTACTGAGGTGTAAGACCAGGAAAAGCAGTAAATTCTCAAATTTGAGACATTTTTTGCTTAAGAAATTACTTTAACTAAAAATTGATTATCAGTTGGTCTTACAGTACAAAAACATTTCACTTAAGCTGGTAACAGAATTAACATTAATTAGCTACAGCTTTTACGATCTGCTGTCTGTGATATTTGTCGCCTAAAATAAGCCTGCTACCACCAACTGACTGCAGGGGTGCAACTGAAGGTTACTTTTATTATTAATCAATCCGTCAGTTTAGTTTTTATAGACAAGAAAATAGTTTAAAACACCCATTGTAAGCTGCTAGAACTCCAGGTGATATCTTTTACAATGCATTTCATGTCAGACTAACAGTTCAATAGTCAAAGATATTCAGTTTATGATGATATAAAACAGAAAAGCAGTAAAATAGTCACAATTCAGAAGGTGGAACCAGCAAAGGTTTGGTGTTTGTGCTTTATAAATAAAGTAATTAATTGATTTGTTTACAACGTCAAACTAATGTTGGATGTTACTGAAATTCTAAATGTACAGGATTTGAAATATGCTGTTTACCTGAGGTACAATCACCTTTACCACTTGCCACTGTAGATCCTTTCAAAGCTGTAACAGTGAACAGTATTGGGTTTATTTTCTCTCAGTCAAATCCAGGTGGGAAATGTGGTGAGAATAGTCAGAGGGGCTCCAGCTCCCAAACCCTGCCAGCCTCTTCATGTTTGTTTCATTAAATCCCTCATTGCTAAGCTCTTAAAGGAAAGCTGACGGCTGTATCTGAGATGACATGCTAAGTGTGCTTTTAAGGGTTGTACCTTTAGTTAGATAAATAACATGCTTCTCTTTAAGCATTGAATCCGTCTGAAATGATGTGCAGAAAGCTAAAATCTGGCTCAGGGTCTTAACTACATCGTCATAATCTCCTCTGCTTCCCATTCAGTGCTTGGACATCCAATATAATGCAGGTGATACATGCGTAATCAGTATGGGTCTATGTAGTCAGTATAATAATGAAGCAGACTGTGTGGTGGTCATTTTAGAAAATGTATCTGTGTGTTATATTGGCAGAGATTTGTTGCTTATTGTGATTCTCATATTGTGGCTGTCTCTACAGTAGTAACAGCAAAGTCAATAAATGGCTGCTGTGATGGTTCGCTGCGTATTTATCATGCCAGTGTCAATGTATGTTTGTGCTTTTTCGACATTGCATGGAGGCTTATGAAACTGCGAGAGGATGTGGTCACCATGGAAACTTGGTGGCACCACAGCCCGGTCTATCATTACCACAAGTATCAGTGTCAGCGGGGTTGTCTGGAGGCCAGTAGGGGTAGTTGATTGAGTTGATGAGAAGGCAGCTAACTGCTGACCCGGTGCAGACCTCTCTGTCACAGTCGATGTACTCCTGAGCTGTCTAAATTGTGATGTCTGGCACTGGTCACACACAAACTGGATTTGCTGTGTAGTCTTATTTTTTTACCATTCGTCGGATCATCACAGTTAATCACTTCTTTGGTAGACCTAATCACTTTTATTGATTTTTAAACAAAGAGGCCACAAGCTGATGACCAGATGACATGGAGACCTAGTTGAACATCAATTGAGACTCAAGCATTTTCAACACTGTATCGCTATGAAGACCAAAAGCATACTTAGGCTCTCTTCACATAATGAGCTTTTACACCTTTCCTCTGCGTTCAATCAGTCAGTTTTAACTTTGACCTTGTTTGTTGTGACCTTGCCTGTCTTCTTCTCTGAAGGTATATAATTGCAGATGCATTCTTTGGTGTAGAAACATAATTCATAGATAGTCTTTGCTTTAATTAATCTTTTGGTGCTCAAATGAAGATGTAAATGTACCCTATGCTTTGCCTCTGCCAACTCACCTTCCTGTATACCAGCGGGGATGTGTAGAGTGCCCAAAAGCTTGGTCACACTAGCAAATCAAAATAGTAGCCACTATAGGTGGCAGGTTTCACCACCTTTTACAGCCTAATGAAACAGAACTAACTCTGGGTCAGGATTCAGCAGTCTACCTACATCTACAGTTCAAGGGACAGTTCTCTCTGAAAAGTGTGTACATTATGGTCAGGGAAAATAGGCTTTTTGTTTTTAAAAGAGGCTTAAACAACCTTTCTTAAACATAGTAGAAGTGGGATGGTGACTCAATTTCTCTGCCACTTACAATACCATCTCAACATCTCTTTTCTAAAGGTTTCACAACCATTTACACTTCTGTTTCTGCGTCGCTAATTGTCTTTCACAACCTGAAGGTGTAAATCACCCACATGTGTTCAATGTGAGGGGACTCCCCATATGGAAAAAAATTATATAACTTCAGTAGACGCAGAGTGACATCAATATCCTACTGATACATTTACCAGTCTAAATGCCATCCCTAATTGCAATAATTTATTTATAGGTTTGTCCTATGTATGTATGTGTGTGTGTAGTATGTGAACAATTATCAATTCTTCATGTTCCTCATTCTTAATGATTTAAAATCTTGAGAAGGTGAATAACTTCTTGTCTTTGTCTTAATGTTAAGGTGCTGGAAGGGCGAGCTCTGAAGTCACTGCCATCACAGCCTGAACTAGATTCAACATGAGATATGGGACACTCACTACCTTTTATATACACTATTATATTTAAGGTTAGTTTAATATTAGATGACTTGGATCACAATCACTATTTTTAAGGTCTAAATTAGCGGTCAGAAAATTCTGATGCTATTGCTTTTAACTCCAAAAATAAACAAACGCAGCCATATAAGAACACATAGCAAATGCATATTTCACCAAAATCTGCACTTTTGATGAATTACTGAACAAAAACATATGCCAGTTAATAATAACCTTTGGCCATTTTATTGGTAATATGATTGTTTCCAAATCGTATAAATTACCTTGGTGTGTTCAGAGCGGCATTGCTAAAAAAATAAACAATTAGACAAACTCTCAGGTCGACGGTCAACAGTAAAATTATGAACTGTCAATTGTAAATCAGACATAGTTTCCATACTCAACCTGTACTTACCATAATTGTGCCTGAACCCAGTTTTCATGTGTACCTCGTGTTTTTTTTTTTGCCCCGTTTATTTTAAAGTTGTCCTGTTCCTACTTTTCTGCATTTACTTTGGCAAACAGTTTTATCGTGATGACCAAGACTACAAAACAAGATAATAAACTTGTTATAAACTGTAATTATCTTTTTAAACTCACTAAAAGATGGCACTCAAAGCTTTTTGGTAGTCACTGTAGAGAAAAAGAAAATGAGTCATGACAATTTAATCCCAAGGATAAATAATGGTTTTACAAGTCATTTTATTCCATGTGCTTTACAAGGATATAAATAATGGCCAAAATTACAAAAATCAGTGTGCTGGAAGCCCAAGCCTATGTACATAAGTTGGTCAGCAGTGATGTCACCAAATAACCCATTTTCCGTTTCAACTCAAAATACAATCTCTACAACCTACCAGTTTTTTTTCAATTTCCAACCTTTATTTTGGTACCTTGTTTCCAGTGCCATGTACTGCAAATCCTTTATTCTTTTCTCTTTTACATTACATGTATGAACAATGAGTTGGCAAAATATCTATGTACATTTTATAATTGGATAATGTCTCATCCAAATAATACAGTAATACTGCGTTTAAAATAGTACATCTGCTAGATAAGAGTAGAGCCCCATGAGGAATGATGGAGGATTTAACCTGACAAGAGTTAGCTAGCCACCTGCAACATTCACTCTCTGTGTATAAGTATGATCATGTAGTTTCAGATTTTTTTTAAAGGATGGCCATCATTCTCAAGCCCAAGGTTTTCATCTTATCATATCATAGAAAAATAATGTAACATTAAGACAACAGTAGACAAGAATTGCACAAGAATAATCATAATCATCATGGTAATATAATACTCTCATATTAAACATTAAAATGTCGGGCAATACGAATAGAATACTTTTTTTTAAACGCCAGATGCTGTTTTGTTCACATAGGTTCATCATCCATTATGAGACACACCTGTTGCATCTTGAGCGTGTTGCAGCTAGTCCAATCACATTTACACGCTTGTGCATATATCTCTGTATTATTTTCTGACTTTAAAGAAAATAAAAAAACAAAAAATAAAGCCAGCCAGAAGTCCTCAAACCCATGCCCATTCCAACATTGACTCATGCCCAGTGGTGCCTTTAGCGAGCCCATTGTCTGTTACCAACAGCTGCCCTGTAACCATACTCACAGTCTCCATGGAGACCCTGTGACCGCCCAAAAGTTCACAGGTCATGCCTCCCAGTTGGGCACATAAAACAGATCCTGCTGTAGTTGCAGAAAGTTGAGGCTGCTTTAATATAAGTGTACATTCAGAGCAGACCATCGTCTGTCAAGATGCAGTCCTGTTAGTGTGTGTGTGTGTGTGTGTAATGTGTCAAGCATCATGTGGATGAATGATGTCAAAATTTTGTAGTCAACCTTAAACACTGTGGAGTAGCATCCATATTTGCAGTCCTTTGAAAAGTGAGCAAGAGGGTCCTTTGTAGTCCATTTTGCATTGTATGTGTGACAAGGTCCGTGTTTAGGGCTGGCTACATTCTTTGCATTCCACAGTAATAGACATGAGCGTCCGGCATTGCCCTGCAAATGAGATGACATCACTTATCGAGAGAGCCCTCACACCCCGCCTCTCCACCGGCCCCCCTGCTCAGCAAATCTAAAATGGCCACCATGCGTCTCACAAGCCACATGCTAAACCTTTTACATACAGGATTTTTTTTCACCCCCCAAATAAAATAAGGTTTACGGCCAGGGAAAAAATCCACGTGGTTAAAAGAATTCTAAACATATATACACACACATGTGCTGCAAAAACAAAAAAATCACCTACTTCTTCCTGTATCACAGGTCAAGTTTAAAGTTGTTAAAGTAATTCACAAGTTTGCTAGTATTTTCAAAAAAATAATCTGATAGAAAGAATCAAAAAAGTTGAAATACATTCTAGTAGCCTGCTGGATGAACCAGTTTGAGTCAAAATTAGACTGTGCTACATCACCTCTCGTAATTCAGCTCTCCTCATTGATTTAAAAAAATGTCTAAAAAGTCAGAACTTTCCCTCCAGTTGTCATGTTCTGACAACTGCCCTCTTCATTGTCAGCTCCCACACTGGGCTCAGACAGCTAAAACACTGTCTCAGCGCTTAGCAGTATTCTGGTTACTAATCTCATTCAAATTGTCACGGGCAAAGTTTGACAAAGGGGCTGAAAGCGAGGGATGGAGGCAGTCAGGAGAAAAAAGGAGGAGAGAGACGAAGCCAATCGGTTGCACCCATCAACAGGAAGAAAAAAAAAACAAGAAGCTGGAAGCAGAACAACCTGGTTGACCACTGACTGACCGACAAACAGGAAGTGGAGAAACAGACCATTTCCCCTACAGGTGGAGACAGAGAAGTGCACCACAGCCCTGGGTTCAAAGGTCATGCGCCAGCCCTGCAGGCAGGAGGATGGAGCCCGGGGCCAAAGGGAGAGAGCAGAAACGAAAGAGAGAAGAGGAGACAAGGAGAAAGAAGAAAGAGACAGCGCAGCGCCAAACGTCATCATGCAGTGGACAGGCTCGGCTAACGGGGGCGGGGCGGGATGTTTTGTTTTTTATATTTCAGCCGGTGAGGTGACGCGGCGGCGTGCGTCGCTCGTGCCCAACTCCGGGGCGGGGCCCCAGTACAGGGCAACCTCTGAAAGGCACACACACACAGGAGTGGACAAGGCGGGTGTATGTTAGAAAATAGTGGTCTCGTACTTGGTGTTGACTCCTCTCTTGGCCTCCTGACCCGGCTCCACAATCCACGGCACGTTGGCGTGGCCCTTCTGGTCCATGGATGGCTGCTCCATCTGACACAGAAAGAGATGGAAAAGAAGAAAGAGAAGTAGGAACAAGAGCCAAATTATTTTCAATGACCTGCATATTCTCAGGTTTGAAAACACTTCACATTACTGTATTGATTTTGTACTTTAGGATTCATGTTTTCAAACCAAACAATTCATCACGACACGTTTTGAATGCAAACGGCTGTTTCTGTTGAGAATCGACATTTTACACGCTGTAGAGGAAATTTTCTCATACAAGTTCATGCCAATAAAGTCAGTGAAAACAAAGTTAGACGGTAGAATAGGTGAGGTGGAGCATGTGCTGCATACGAAGTAATGTAATGTAAAATAATAACTGAGAGGGAGATGGGATACAGATTACAGATGATCATGGACAGAAGCTCACAGTCTGACATAAAGAAACCCATATCTGTGCATCCTGCCGGTCCTGTACTATTACCATGTGCTGTATTTGCAGCAGTGCACTTCCTGTACATTCTAACAATTTCAGTTGTCAAAGGGCTGTTGACTCTCCTCTGCTGCTGCCACTGCGAAGCTTATTGTGGCTTCAAAGCCGAGAAACAAACCAAACAATCTACAATGCTTTCAAAAATAACCCCACGGCAACCAATCAAGAAGCTGGGTTTTGTTGCTGAGGATGTTTTTCCTCCAATCTATTGGTTTAATTTCACATGATTTTTGGGGGAGGGGAGACTGTATGAGCTGCAGTTTTGACAGTAGACGACTAAATTTGTCTTTGTAGTCTGTCTAATGCTAATTATATACATGAATGAAAACATTAAATGCAACTAAATATAATTTCTAAATAATAACAAGCATTAAAGATGTACTTCTGGAGTAAACAGGGTTAATATCAGAGTTCTGCAGTACACTTACAGAGCCATGTTTCTCTTATCTTGTCTGAACACACTGCTACAGCAACAATACTGAACTAACTACAATATTAATCCAGTTCTCTATCCTCTCCCTCTCACACAACCACAGCAAGACCTTATAATCTTGTTATGGGGTTACAGGATTAAGGACAAACACACTTTCAAACTCACAGCAGCACAACACCATCATGCTTAGTGAAGAACTCATTCAGAGCATCACCGGGATCAGCCTCAAACTCATCCACCACACACGAAGCCACGGACTGAACTATGTCTGCCTT